CACCACCACAGCACCACCACCAGCAGCAGCAGCACCACCACCACCACGCAGCACACCACCACCAGCAGCAGCCACCACACCACCACCACCACACCACCAGCAGCAGCAGCACCACACCACCACAGCACCACCACCACAGCAGCAGCAGCACACCACCACCACCAGCAGCACCACCAGCCAGCAGCACGACCACCACCAGCGCACCACCAGCAGCAGCACCACCACCAGCAGCACCACCAGCAGCGCACCACCACCAGCAGCACCACCAGCAGCAGCAGCAGCACCACCCACAGCAGCACCACCACCACAGCACCACCAGCAGACCACCACCAGCAGCACAGCACCACACCACCACCAGCAGCAGCCACACCAGCAGCACACCAGCAGGCAGCCACCACCACCACCACCACACGCAGCACACATCCACACACGACACGCACCACCAGCACAGCAGCAGCACCACACCAGCAGCAGCCACCACCAGCGCAGCAGCAGCACCACACCACCAGCGCACCACCATCAGCACAGCAGCAGCAGCAGCATGACCACCACAGCAGGCAGCAGCACACAATGTAAACAGTGATGAAGACTGAACACCACCAGCATAGATCAGCTGCTGGATACCAGCTTAACTATGGTTGACCAGCAGGTCCACCGTAGTGCTTTTCCGTTTTTATGCAAATCCAAAAATATCACCAAGAGATCATATAAGGTAATCTCACTGAAATCTAACTGAAAAGTATGCCAGTGATCTCTAAATATTGTTCAACTGAAGAAACACTTGCACAGAACGAGGGTGGGGCTGGGTTAAGAGAGCTGTGGGAAGAACGAGGGTGGGGCTGGGTTAAGAGAGCTGTGGGAAGAACGAGGGTGGGGCTGGAAGTGTTGTGGGAGGAATAAGAGGGATTGGCAGTGCAGTAAGAATAGAGGAAGGGTTACGGATGGAGAGAACAGAAGGGGGTTCTGGGAGGAATATAGGGAGGGACTAGGAAGTGTGTGTGTGTTTGTGTGAAAGAACATAGGGAGGGGCTAGGAAGGGAGGGGGTGAAGCAAGACAAACTGGCAGGGTCGTATGTTAGGTTTTACGAGCCTGGTTTAACAAGGTTGTTGGGTCACGTATGAGAGACGGTGGAGGAAGGGACCATGGTATCAGGGGATAAAAACTTCAGGTACCGTCCTTCACCTTAAAAAGTGGCACAGTTTAACTCCTTCCTTACTTTCTGCTTAAATTGCATGCATAAGCGCATATATATATTTATATATATATATATATATATATATATATATTATATATATATATATATATTATATATATATATATATATATATATATATATATATATATATATATATATATTAAAGGTAGGTTGAGAATAAAGGATACTCGCTTTACTCCTACAGTTACCTTTAGGGTATCCTACAGGTGTAATTTGCTGTGTTCGTGGCTTGGACCCAAATTCTGATGTGTTGGGTTCTGGTCTTACTGGGTTAGGTATAGGTACGTCATTAGCGAGGTGTCATTAAAGGCCTGTGGATGTTTGAGGTGACTCTTTTAGTGAGATTGTTCGTATGTCTCTTTTCTAGTGACTAGAGCTGTGTTTAGCATGTTAAGATTACCTTTGCTGGTTTTAAGGGTTGGTAATGATGGTTTATTTGTTTGTGAATTTGTGCGCGTGTTGTGATAGTTCTTAAGAGTGAAAAGTGCTGGGATTAATTAGTACTTTTATATGAACATAAAGGAGGCACACCTGTTGGCCCATACTAGGCAGGTCCTTTACAATCCAACCCACTTTCAGTGCTACCCTAACAATATGCTCTGATAAATCTATTTACTCACTTGTAAAGTAAAAGGACACAAGTGCAACTAATGTGACATTTATTGTGGCAACGTTTCGCTCTCCAGGAGCTTTATCAATGGCTTGATAAAGCTCCTGGAGAGCGAAACGTTGCCACAATAAATGTCACATTAGTTGCACTTGTGTCCTTTTACTTTACATATTGTCGGTAATTCTACCAACTTTATAACTATTTACTCACTTGCAAGTCCCACTCAAATCTAACCCCTCTTATTCATGTATTTATCCAACCTAAACTTGAAACTACCCAAGGTTTTAGCTTCACTAACCTACTAGGTAGACTGTTCCACATCATCTAAACTTATCTAATTTGAATCCATTATTGCGGGTTCTCTCTTAGAGGAATATCCTCAAGACATTATTTATATCCCTACTAATGATCATTATTTATATCCCCTTTATTAATACCCATCTTCCACTTGTACACTTCGATCATGTCTCCCTCATTCTTCGTCTTACAAGTGAATGTACATTAAAATGGTATAAAATACCGACAGATTGTTAGGTAAGACACATATGCAACAGTTTTGTTTCAGACTTTGGAACAATGCTCTTCTCCAGACTGAGGGACTGACCACCTCAAAACTTTAAGGGTGATGGACTGATTACATCGTCTTCAAGTCTCTTCTGCTTCTATCAACTTTTCTGTACTCGTTGAAGATTGAGACACTTATGCAGCATATGGGAATCTTTATTCAGGAAACGTTTCGCCACACAATGGCTTCATCAGTCCAATACAAAGAGGAAGGTGTAAGGAGAGGAGGAGAATGAGGTAATCAGTCCCTCAACCTGGAGTCGATGTGTTCAGTCCATCAATCTTCTTCTGTACTCGACTGAAGAAGCCTACTGTGTAGGCGAAACGTTTCGAAATAAAGATATCCAACTGTTGCATATGTGTCTTACCTAACAACAAGTGAATGTGATTTAAGGGTCTTCAATCTTTCTTCATACGGAAGATTTCTAATGTTGTGAATTAATTTTGTCATTTTTCGCGGAATGTTTTCTAACGAATTTATATCCATTCTGTAATATGGAGACCAGAACTGAGCTGTTGTTCAGACCATCCATCTTGTAGGAAGATTGACGGACTGAACACATCGACTCCAGGTCGAGGGACTGATTACCTCAAACTCCTCCTCTCCTTACATCTTTGTGCTTTGTATTGGACTGATGAAGCCACTGTGGCGAAACTTTTCTTCAATAAAGATTCCCGTATGTTGTAATAAAGTTGGTAGAATTACCGACAATATGTAAAGTAAAAGGACACAAGTGCAACTAATGACATTTTATTGTGGCAACGTTTCGGTCTCCAGGTAATGGCTTGATAAAGCTCCTGGAGAGCGAAACGTTGCCACAATAAAATGTCACATTAGTTGCACTTGTGTCCTTTTACTTTACATTCCCGTATGTTGCATAAGTGAGGCAGATTCTTTGGTAGCATTGGGCACGGGACCTGTACACAAATAACCCGCACATAAAAGAGAGAAGCTTACGATGACGTTTCGGTCCGACTTGGACCATTGACAAAGTCACACTGTGAATTTGTCAATGTGACTGTCAATGGTCCAAGTCGGACCGAAACGTCGTCGTAAGCTTCTCTCTCTTATGTGCGGGTTATTTGTGTATCGTTCCAGTCACGGTATTGTGCCTTTTTGTTATTTACGGGACCTGTCATGTATAGGCCAGTAGGCCTGCTACAGTGTTCCTCCATTCTTATATTCATATAATGTCTGAACAATAAAATGGTATAAAATACCGACAGCTTGTTTAGGTAAGACACATATGCAACAGTTAGGTATCTTTATTTCGAAACGTTTCGAAATAAAGATACCTAACTGTTGCATATGTGTCTTACCATATAATGTCTGTTTTTCAGTCCCCTTTCTCTCAGCCCCTCTAACCCACCCTCTCTCCTCCGTTTCCTCTCTCTGCCCCCGTTTCCTCTCTCTGCCCCCGTTTCCTCTCTCTGCCCCCGTTTCCTCTCTCTGCCCCCGTTTCCTTTCTCTGCCCCCGTTTCCTTTCTCTGCCCCCGTTTCCTCTCTCTGCCCCCGTTTCCTCTCTCTGCCCCCGTTTCCTCTCTCTGCCCCCGTTTCCTTTCTCTGCCCCTCTCTCCTTACGTTCCTTCTTTCCTCGATGATTCCTTTTTAGTGGTGTGGCTAAGATGTCACTGCACTATGAATGATGAGGGATATTTGTCTCAGTTTCCGCAGTTAATGGTCAAAGTTGTTTTTCACCTCCATAATACACCACTAACTCGCTCCACCCGCCGCATCTTTTTTTCCTCTTCACTCGCACTTTATTGGGATTCATTGTCTGAAAAGTTTCATTCCCTCTCCGGTGAAGAGTTACTAAAGTTGGGATATGGGATTTTAGCTTGGGTGGAGAGGACACAGATGAAGGTATGGGGAATGCCAGCCGCCTTGCATGTGCTCCTGACTCTTAGGCTACGGTGTTATTCAACAACTCCCAGTTGAGGGACTGATTATCTCCTCTTTTGTATATAGTTCTATTGTCTTCCAATCATGAACTTTATTGATAAAGCCACTGGATGGCGAAACGTCTAAAATAAAAATAACCAGATGTTGCACATATGTCTGAATTTCGCCGAGGTATGGGGGAACTTTTGTGTTCAGCTGTGAGATTGTTGGGTGTTTTGGGCAGGTATTATGGGTGTAATGTAGGGATTTGAAAGGGTAGGGGATATACAAGGGTGTGAGGCTATAAGGAATTGGCGCTGCCCTCCTGGTTTCAGATCGCACCTGATTACCCAGGCGCTGCATGACCCCTTTTATGGGTTTAGACTTCCGCATGAATATAATAAGAATTTGATTATGAAGGACATGTTAGGATGTTTGAAAAGCGTATCTTTGCGTGTTGAGAAGACTAAGTAGGGTACCTTTGATACCTTTGAAGAATTTCGAGAGTTTCGCTATTCTCGGAGCCCGGCCATGAGCCGGGTGGGAAAACACACAAACAAACACAAACACACACACACACACACACACACACACACACACACACACACACACACACACACACACACACACACACACACACACCTACCTACCTTTGTTTTATAGTTGTTTTTTGGTACTTTGGCAATGTATGATAGCATATTAACGTTGTTTTTCTTGTGGTTGACAGGGAGGGTTCGCCAGGGTGCACGAGGTGACAGACTTGACCACCAACCAGACGTATGCTGGCAAGATCATCCCCAAGTGTCGCATCACCAAACCTCACCACAAGGAGAAGGTAAGTAGTCTCTCGTAGTGGCTCTGGAGGGGGGAAATACCTTCCCCAGGGCCTGGTCTCGGACCAGGCCGTCACGGTTGGAGTGTATTGCTGGAATAAGAAATATTAAGCACATTAGTAAAGTGTTGAATGAGGAAATGGTATGGTTATACCGACAAGATGTGGAAAAAGTCTTTCCACAAAGTGTTGAATGTTTTCGTGTTGCCCTTTTTCTCTCTAGGCTGGAATACTGCTGTACACTAACAGCTCCATTCAAGGCAGGGGAAATCGCAGGTCTAGAGAATGTACAGAGAACCTTTACTGCACATATAAGTTCCATCAAACACCTTAAGTACTGGGAACGCTTGGAAGCACTTGACTTGTACTCGCTGGAGAGCAGGCGAGGGAGAGACTATAATCTATACCCGGAAAATCCTAGAGGGACTGGTCCCTAATCTGCACACAGAAATCACTTCCTACGAAAACAAAAGACTTGGCAGGCGCCATTAGTATACTAAGAAAAACACAGCAAGTGTCCGGGGCCCAAGACTGTTCAACTGCCTACCACCAGCCATAAGGGGAATTACCAATAGACCCCTGGTTTTCAAGAGGGAGCTCGACAGAAACCTAAAGTCAATGCTGGATCAGCCGGGCTGTGGTTCGTAGGTTGGACTACGTGCGGCCAGCAGTAACAGTCTAGTTGATCAGGCCCTGATCCATCGGGAGGCCTGTTGGTGGACCGGGCCGGGGGAAGGTTGATCTTCGGAATATCCTCCAGGTAGACTCGGGTGTGGCACTCCCAGGGGTGACACAGATGTGGTACTGCCTGGTATGCTGCTCCTTGGGGGTGGCACTCCCAGGAACAGATTCACTCAACATTATTCTTTCTGAGTTGAGTTAAATTCGTCAACGCACTTTATACACACACACACACACACACACACACACACACACACACACACACACACACACACACACACACACACACACACACAATATATATATAATATATATATATGTATTATATAATGTCGTGCCGAATAGGCAGAACTTGCGATCTTGGCTTAAATAGCAACGCTCATCTTGCCATATAGGACAAGTGAAAATTTGTGTATGCAATAATTTCGCCAAAATCATTCTGAACCTAACGAAAAAAAATATATTTCACTGTGTTTAGTATTAAATTACTGTAAACAAATCTAAAATATATTTAGTTGGGTTAGGCTAAAATAAATTGCGCTTGTTATAATAAGGTTAGGTAAGTTTTTTAAGTTACTTTTGGTGCAAAATTATAAATTTTTACGTCACCATTAATGGAAAAAAAAATCTTTAAACGTGTAAGAGAAAATTTTAGAAGGGACTTAATTTTAAATGAGTTCTTGCTAACTGACCAGTTTTACATATTCGGCACAACATATATATATATATATATATATATATATATATATATATATATAATATATATATGTCGTGCCGAATAGGCAGAACTTGCCATCTTGGCTTAAATAGCAACGTTCATCTTGCCATATAGGACAAGTGAAAATTTGTGTATGCAATAATTTCGCCAAAATCATTTTGAACCTAACGAAAAAAATATATTTCACTGTGTTTGTTTAGTATTAAATTATTGTAAACAAATCTAAAATATATTTAGTTGGGTTAGGCTAAAATAAATTGTTTTTGTTATGATAAGGTTAGGTAAGTTTTCTAAGTTCCTTTTGGTGCAAAATTATAAATTTTTACATCAACATTAATGAAAAAAATATATCTTTAAACGTATAAGAGAAAATTTTAGAAAAAACTTAATTTTAAATGAGTTCTTGCTAATTGACCAGTTTTACATATTCGGCACGACATATATATATAATATATAATATATATATAATATATTATATATAATATATATATATATATATATTAAATATATATATATATATATATAAATATATATATATATATATATATATATAAATATATATATATATATATATATATATAAATATATATATATATATATATATATATAAATATATATATATATATATATATATATAAATATATATATATATATATATATATATATATAAAATATATATATATATATATATATATATATATATAAATTATATTATATATATTTATAATATATATATATATATATATATATATATATAAAATGGTATACAATACCGACAGGTTGGTAGGTAAGACACAGTCAGGATAGTTCCTGACTATGGAACTGAACTTCTCCAGGCTGAGGGACTGACAACCTCAAATTCTACGACTTCAAGGGTGATGGACTGATTACATCGTCTTCACATCTCTACTGTTCCTGCCTACTTTCTGTATTCGGCTGAAGAAGCCTACTGTGTAGGCGAAACGTTTCAGAATAAAGTTGCCTAACTGTTGCCTGTGTGTCTTACCTACCATTAAATAGTTGAACATCAAAATGGTATACAATACCTAACATTAAATAGTTGCATGGGTCACCGCCATCGGGATCAGGTCTGTGACCTGGTCTCGTGGTTGACCCGCTCATCAGCCAGACCCTTTGCTTCTTGCGGTTAAATGTAGACACAGCCTGGTTGATCAGGAAGTTTGAAGAGGAGTCGTGGTTAATTACGGCAGGAAAGTGCGGTGTTGATGGTGAATGCTAAGGGAGAGAGCGGGGGAAGGGAGCGAGAGGAAGGAGGGGAGAGAACAAGGAAAGGGAGGTTTAATTTGGCCCCCTATTTCTTGGCATATTTTTGGCAGTCGTACAATGAATTAATGGCAGTCAGTCCACACACTGACCCTCTTTACTCTTCAAGGACAATGTACCTTGTTGCTATTAAAGGGGTCGTCATTAGAGGGTTTTTACCTACCATCCCTTTCTTCCCATCAAACCTGATTACCTCCCATTTCCCAGCCAATGTATGACCCTTATGGAATTAGCAGTAGTTGTGGTGGTAGTAACAGCAGTTGTGGTAGTAGTAACAGTAATTGTGGTAATAGTAACAGTAGTAGTTATGAACATTAAAATGGTATAAAATACCGACAGGTTGTTAGGTAAGACACACATGCAACAGTTAGGTATCTTTATTTCGAAACGTTTCGCCTACACAGTAGGCTCTTCACTCATATTGTTTCAGACTATGGAACAATACTCTTCTCCAGACTGAGGGACTGACCACCTCAAAACTTCAAGGGTGATGGACTGATTACATCGTCTTCAAGTATCTTCTGCTTCTATCAACTTTTCTGTATTCGACTGAAGAAGCCTACTGTGTAGGCGAAACGTTTCGAAATAAAGATACCTAACTGTTGCATACGTGTCTTACCTAACAGTAGTAGTTATGGTAGTAGCAGCAGTTGTGGTAGTATCGTCGTCTCTTCAGGCCTCGTTAGGAATCGTCTCAGAATCATCTCGGTGTATGAATTCTGAACCAGTCTCTGTAATATTTTGCAGGTGTTGCCCGCACTCCAGGGACGACAATTTAAAATCTTTGCCAATAGTTTTGGGTGTGACTGGATGCTGGCAGTAGCTTCTCTTCGCGATTTCGAGGCTCCGAAATTTAGCCAGCTTTAAAAACCCTGGCCATTTTCTGTTTCCATATGCTTATTATTCGGCAGATACAATAAATAGAAAATTTAAATAATGGCTCAGTATTTAAAGCATTTTGTGTTTTCCCCACAAGACTCTTCTAGAGATAATCTTGTCAATGTAGTGCTGATTAATATTCATCAGTAGATCGTGTTAATTAAACCCTGCATCAAGGTTGTTGCATAGTCTCTCACTTCCAGGGATGGAAATATATGGTATAAAATACCGACACAATGGAAATATAAATGGTATAAACCTTGGTAATAAATACCGACAAGTTGGTTTAGAAAGACACGTAAGCAAACACTATAAGCAAATACATAAGCAGTATAATGTGATACTTTATTGACAACGTTTCGCCCACACAGTGGGTTTTAACAGATCAACCTTTGTGACTTGATAAAGCCCACTGTGTGGGAGAAACGTTGTCAATAAAGGATCACATTGTGAAATTAAGACACATGTGCAACATCTGGGTATCTTTATTGTAGACGTTTCGCCATCCAGTGGATGGCGAAACGTCTACAGTAAAGATACCCAGACGTTGCACATGTCTTAATTTCATCTTGTCAGTATTATATACCATTTTTGCACAAAGGATCACATTATACTGCTTATGTGTTTATATTTCCACTTTGAGGGATACAACTCTCTGAACGGAGGGTTCAAATCCAGGGCTACAACTAGCAGTGTTTATAATTGTCATTTCGATTTCGCAAGTTAATACTTCTTCAGGATGCGTGCAGTTTTAAAAGTTCATTCTTCCACTGGGTGCACAAGTTACGACGTGGAGAGAGTATACAGTCATGTAGATAATTGGTTCAGAGAACAAACAGGTGGATAAATTAGACGCTTGTGCTACACGTGGGTATCTCTGTGGAAACGTTACGTTACACAGTGGCTTCCTCAGTCCAGTACAGAAAAGAATGGTTGAAGATCAGTAGTAGTTAGAGGTAATCAGTCCCTCAGCCACAGTGTGCGATTACCTCAAAACAACCACAACAACAACCACAACAACTACTACTACTACTGATCTTCAAGTTGGTAAGAAAGACACATAGGCAACAGTTAGACATCTTTAACCCGAAACGTTTCGCCTACACAGGCTTCTTCAGTCGAGTACAGAAAGTAGGCAGGAGCTGTAGAGATGTGAAGACGATGTAATCAGTCCATCACTCTTCAAGTCATAGATTTGAGGTTGAGAGTCCCTCAACCTGGAGAAGAGTTCTGTTCCATAGTCTGATGCTGTCACTCCCATTTGCATGTTGCAATCATTAAGTTAATGTTTATCTTCTGCTGAGTAGATTGTGTGTGTGTGTGTGTGTGTGTGTGTGTGTGTGTGTGTGTGTGTGTGTGTGTGTGTGTGTGTGTGTGTGGGGTATAAGAGAACAGGATGGTTTGGCATCTCTTATTGTGTGGAAGATCTACTTATCCGGCT